GATAGGAGTCGAGAAGCCCTCCCAAAATGTGTCTCAAACTGGATGAGGAGGGGGTGGGATGATTTGTATAATGAAGCATTTCAGGATGTTGAAATTAGACAGCCTGTTATCGCTCAAAGACTTGGCTCAAGCGCTTACTGCATTTCTCCCACCCCAAACGGAAAAGGTGTCAAAAATTTAGATTTGGGGGGGGGGGGACAAATCTATTTTGGCAAAAGTAACAAAAGGTGAACAAAATTTGGAAGTGAAACCCAAGATCTTCTGTAGGTGAGCCACTTCTCTGGTAACAGAAAAGAGTTTTAATACCTTTGAGTAGGGTGCCCAGTACAAAAGGGGACCTTTAAAAAGTTGTGTTTGTTTGAAGAGAGATTTTCAGTAGGTATATCTTGCATTTCAAAGCTACAGCTGTTGAAATCCTCTCTTCCAAACAACTGCTCTGCCGCAGGTGGGCTCCCAAGGAAGTGGGCTGTGATTGTGGTACCTCTTTGCATGGTAGCAGATATAGGTGCTGTAGTTGTGTTCAGGTGAGGCAGAGGTCAAGGCAAAAACCTGGACACTGGCTGGAGGGAAGACATGGCTTCAAAAGTACTTTCTGCTGCCTTCTGAAGGCTGGTGGATCAGTACTGTTGGTGACCCTCTGCCCTTGAAATGTTGCTGCCTTGCTCTGCAGCCATGCGAATGGCAGGGGCTGCCCCAGAAATCTTTGGAAGCATCCAACAAGGCCATGTCTTCTGTTCAGGGAGAGGGAGGCATCATCAAGATCAGTGTGTGTGTTTGAGAAATGTAACAGTTGTGAGGGTGCTGCCCTGACCTTTCAAAACAGGTGGGATAAAAATCTAGCCCATAAATAAAAGTCACCACATGCTCCGGAGTTGTCATACTGAGTGCTTTCATACTCCTACCTCACAGATTTTGGTGCCACTGGGAGGCAATTGATCACTGCAAGATGCTGCCAAGACAAAATATGAACTGAATTACACCTCCCATTTGGGGTGTACAGCAACCCTGTTTTTGTTTGTTTCGTTTTGCAATGGATGGCTGCACTCTTAGCTTTGGAGAAATGCTAAGTATCTCACTCCACTCCGAACAAAAATCCCCATTCCTATATGGGTCTGTGCTTACTGGGTTTTATTTATTGAACTGGATTTCAATGTCATAAAGTCTGATACAAAGTGGCCCGTGTTAGACATACCTTGGGTTCAACTGTGAGAAGTAAGAAAGCATGTGTTCCTTTACATGGACACTTCTTGGGTCCATAGTTTTGGAGTGTCTTGTGCCAGCCTCAGCATCCCTCAGCTGTCCATGTAGCGGTTCTGGTGGTAACGGATGCAACCAATAAGAGGCAGACAATTTTCTTTGTCCAGTCTCAAGTCCTGTCTCAGCATTTTCCACTTCACTATTGGTCTCATATGGAGGGAGTCTTAGAATTGGAAGACACCCAGTAGGCCGTCTAATTGAAGACCATACTCTGTGGGAAATGGGCTGTTGGTTTTATTAGCCAAACTAAAATTATTGAATATCACGGTAAATGCAGCAATGCAGCTGCAAATGGACTCCTGAGTCCTTTCCAAAGCAGATTTAATTGAAAATAACTCCTATTGATTTCAGTGGAACTTTTAAGCTAATTTACTTGGGATCGTGCCTAAATATACATGGACAAAGTCATCCATAAGCAGACAATGGCTGTACAGTTAGAGGGTAGACTGATGAACTCAGTAAAGGGAAAGTTGGATTCAGCTCCCCATACAGCCTTGGAGTTGACCGGGTGGTCATGAGGCAATATGTTTCAGTCCAACCTGTACATTCATTCCCAAGTCTGTTCTGTCCCATTTGCACATTAATACGTACACGTGTAAGCTTTTAAAAAAGAACAGTCTGCATCAAAGTATGTATTTGTGAAGTATTGCCACAAAAGACACATTTCTAAACTTATTATTTACTCAAAACTATGTGTATTCAAACATATTTTATCTGAAAATACGGACTTCTTATAATAATTATTATTATAAAAGCTTTTCATTTACAAAAGAGAAATACCATTGATAAAACACAACAGCACTCAGTAAAAATAAATAATTGTCAGTATTGATCAAGCAAGTCAGGTAATGGCTGGGTAAATGCACTTTTTTTTAGCACAAGAGCTACATCCAGGGGAGAGTGAAATCTGAAGGATAGCTACACTCTGACCCACACCTTACTTTGGAAGCTGTGGATCAGGTCAGTTCATCGGAAGAATTTGCAAAGGACAAATTCTCCAAACCTCTCTAGATCCTGTGTGCAACTCTGACCTCCTTAGCGGAAGAGTAGGATACACACAGTTGACAAATAAATAATAACAGGGAGCTACCCAGGGGAGATCTTGTGTAATGCCTATGCATGCATCCATATATTTCGAGTCACAGACATATTTTGAGTGGCACTATTGATTGTGTGCCGTCTTTTGAGAACATGGTTGTATTTTTCCTTAGTAATATGAGTTTGGTAGGCTTTTTTTAAAAAAAAAGTCAAAAGTTGCTGGCATTAACACTGAAAGTGGATTTTTGTGACTCCAGCAGGCTCAGTGAAGAGGGCTCTTTTTAAGTCTCAAGGGTTTTTGAACATTACTTGACCTGTCTCCATAGTACTGAGGCCATTTTTGATAACGAATGGATCAATACCTCCCTGTTTGTCTTGAAGTGTCTTAAGTGCTGTTGTTGTCCGCTTGCAGTTCTGACAAAGCAATTATTACTGTAAGAGTGGCGGTTTTTATGTGTTGAGCATTTGCTACCCTCAGGTCACCCTTGCTTTTAAGGAAAGCATAAAATGTCACTTGCCATAGCGGGATTAACTAGAACCACTATGGTTAAGGGTCTGTTAATAATTCCATAATATATCCTGCTTTGGTCTCAATACTACTTCAACTTGGCAAGAGAGTTTTTCCTTTGACTATCCTACTAGCAACCATTTCCTTCTCTCCTCATCTCAGGCCAATAAGTGCGTTGGGGTTGAGTTTGTTTTTAGTGCAAGGAAACAAACATTTTTAACAGGGATATTGATGGTTCCTAAATATTCAGGAGTAGGAGCAAAGACATTTGCTACCGGGGGCAAGAGAAGAAATTATTATTTTCTAAGAAACAAAACACAAACCCTGGAAATCCTCACACACAGTTGGCTAACTTATTAACTCTGCTATAATTGGGGTATAGTTATATATGGATCCACTGCAACCAGAATTTGACAGTGCTCTTTGCTTTCTTCTTTGTACCTCGTGTGTATGTAATGGCACCTTTAGGGATCACCCAAGAATAAAAGAATAGTATTCAGAATGGGTATCATTATTATTATTACTATTATTTATTAAATTTGTATACAGTGGTACCTCGGGTTACATGCACTTCAGGTTACAGATGCTTCAGGTTACAGACTCTGCTAACCCAGAAATAGTACTTCGGGTTAAGAACTTTGCTTCAGGATGAGAACAGAAATCATGCTCTGGTGGCGCGGCGGCAGCAGGAGGCCCCATTAGCTAAAGTGGTACCTCAGGTTAAGAACAGTTTCAGGTTAAGAACGGACCTCAAGAACGAATTAAGTTCTTAACCCGAGGTACCACTGTACTGCCTTTAGTCCGAAGATCACCGGGTGGTTCACAGCATAAAAATACAAAAATGAGAACACAAAATGCATAAAACAAACAAACAGACAGACAGACAAACAAACAAACCAAAGAGAAACACATTTAAAATGCCAAAAAATATTTAATCAGCCAAAGGCTTGGTTATAGAGAAACGATTTTGCCTGAGCATTCCACAGACGGGGAGCCACTGCAGAAAAGGCCCGTTCTTGTAGAATGCCCATGTGATACCTTTTCTCGTGACATGCTGAGAGGCATACTACTTTATCACTACATTCGGAAGCAGCTTCAGGTATTGACCAAGCTCCAGCAATTGACCTTGATGGTTGAAGCTCCAGGGAAGCATCTAGGATTAGCATGCCAGTCAGTTGACCAAATATTGTCAGCTGGCCAACTGTTACTTGACTGTGGCCAAACATTGTCAGATGCTTTAAGAATTCGCCTCCAGCCTCCTTAGCATAACTCCTTTCAGTAGCAGCCCTGGGTGAAACTGCCCAGCTGCCCACTCCCCAATACTTGTGTTGACTCCAGCTACCTGGACAGGCTGTGCAACCCCAGCCACCCCAGCCTCGTCCAGGTAAGGTACAACAACACCGACATCATCCAGAAAGTGGCTCAGTGGCCCTGCCTCAGCTCATAGGCCACTGTTGCTGCCTTTCAGCTTCTCACTGCAGCTTTTCCTTCTCTGGCCAATGAACACCAGGCTGGTGTTCTCCTCACAATGATGTTTATCTTGAGAGGCAAAAGGTGCAGCATCCCAGCAGCTCTTGGTTTCCTGATCAATGGGAGAGGCTACTTACCTCTTTTTCCTTGTTCTATTTTATTTTGCCGGTTTTTCAAAAAGTTGCAACAGGTTGATCATGCCAATCAACAAAAATTAAAGTCTGTCATGTCTGAAATGTATATTTTTTCCTTAATGAAGCTTTTTGATCATACTCACTGGAGTAGTTCTGGAAGTCAGGCAGAAGAATCAGTAGAGGTAGCAGAGAGGTTAACCTCAACTAGGTGGGCAACCTGTGGACATCTGGATGTCCTTGGACTCCAGGTCCCATCATCCATGACTGTTGGACGTGCTGGTTGAGACTGATGGGAGTTGGAGCTCAACAACATTTGGAAAGCCGCAAGTTGCCCACCCTTGACGTAAGCAAAATCCATGGTGTCACACCAGTTTGATTATGGGGGCAAATTATGGCCATATCCCTGCAACCAATCATGCTGCTCAGAGCAAAAAACCGGGACTCAGATTGTCTGTTCACTTAGTGGACAACCGGCTAAAAAACACCAAGAGCCTGCCAGCATTCTGTACTAGGGATTTCCTCAGAGAGCTAGCAGGAACCTGCTCAGTAATGTTACCTGTAACGTCCTCATGGGTGTGCTTTCTTGTTCATAGGTGTGCCAATGTTATCCGTCCAGCCGAAAGGGAAGCAAAAGGGCTGCGCCGGATGCAACCGGAAGATTAAGGACCGATACCTTTTGAAGGCCTTGGATAAGTACTGGCATGAAGATTGTCTAAAGTGCGCCTGCTGCGACTGTCGCCTGGGAGAGGTTGGATCAACACTTTACACAAAGGCAAATCTCATTCTCTGCCGCAGAGATTACCTGAGGTAAGTTAGGTTTTATGCCACACCTGCTTATAAGCATCTCACTCGATAAACTGCTTTCTTTTTCTTCCTGCCAGTGGCGTTTAAGACGTAACTCTATTGTTTGTTTACTTTATTTCCTTTTGGAAAATCTGTGGCGTACCTGTACAAAGAAGACCAACCCCCACAAAACAAACCTATGTCAACTTTTCGGGAAGAATAACTTTGGGGTGGGGTACTTTTTGTTGGAACCATAGTACAGGAGGAAAGGGTTATACTTGCGCCCCAAAAAAACCCCCAAACTGCTATTTAAATATCAAAAGACACATGAAATGCACTCACACCCTAAGTTTCTTAGTTAATTTTCTATTCTGATGCACCTTCAAAGGAAATTATGCTAAGATTTTTAGCAGTAAAGTAAAATAGTAAGCCTGTTGGACCTTATTTGTCTCTCATTTCTTTTGGCCAAAGTTGCTAGGGATTGGGGAAATGAATTGGGATTGCAAACGTTCCCTCCTTTGCCCTTCTTTTGCCCCAAATTGCATAAATACTGAGCAGCCAAAGGGGAATCCCTCAGTTATTTGAATGCAGAATCTCCCATGATCCTGAGAAACCTTCAAAAGATGGTTTTCTCGCCCGGGGTAAGGAGGAGAATTCCCACACTCAAAAAACAATATGCTCTCCCCCTTCACTGCTTACTTTTTCCTGCAGTGAGGTGAGTAAAAGTAAAAGAAGTGCATAAGGTTTACTCATAATTTAGTAACAATTGAGATACAATCAGTTTCCTGTGAAATTCAGCAACAAAAATACTATGGGGTTGATACTCAGATAATACAAATAGAAATAAAGATATAGAAATAGATGATAGATAGATGATAGATAGATAGATAGATAGATAGATAGATAGATGATGATAGATAGATAGATGATAGATAGATGATAGATAGATAGATAGATAGATAGATAGATAGATAGATAGATAGATAGATACACACTCAAACGAGTATGGGGTGCCTGTGGTCCTTCAGATGTTGGATTTTGTGCACCAGGAACTTCAAACTTTGTGGCCTGTGATCTGAAATAATGGGAGCTGTGGTCCAGCAATATACAGGGGACCATGTCTTCCCAATCCCTGTGCTATAGGCAGGGCTTTTTTTTCAGCCAGAACTTGTCGTAACTCAACTCCAGCACCTCTCAGGTGAGCACCATTGCCATTCTAACAGAGTAAGGGAGATGTTCATGGTGAATTCCAGCTCTTCTTTTTCTAGAAAAATAGCACAGGCTGTACGAAACATTCATAGTATCATGAAATAAAGGAAAGGTATGCATGCCTTACAATGGTTTTACCTTGCTTCCAGATACGGGCTGAATAATAACGTAGCTCTTGTAAACGGTCCTATCTAACATCGCTTTCCAAATTCCAAAACTGCCATTTTCCACCTCAGCAGCCATCGTGTAAACCAAGCCTATACAAAGTGTGTGGATAAACTTTTACTGAAAATGTTTTATATGCATTGAATCATTCTTAGCCCCGTTGTGTGGATTAGGTGGGCTTGAATGGCTCCTTCAGCTTTCCTTGCGGGGCTCAATAAATTTGTTAAATATGATGCTGTATCCATGTAGGATAACAGAGGTGGGTTTTTTTAAAAAAAGCATATGGCAGAAAAGCTTTCAAATACCATTTGAAAAGTATCCCCGGCACTCTTAGTGCACTGCAACAGGGCATTGGTCCCTGGCACAGAGGCCTGCCGTGCTGTAGCTGAAGAGGCATCATCCTGTGTAGGGCAAGTGGAACGGGACTGTCCCGCTCAGGCCCTCTTGCCATTTCAAATGCATTAGCACACCTACACACGCCATTCCCTTTACTCCTACAAAATGCCAGCATCGCTTTGTACCAGAGCTCTGGGATTTGGGACCTCTCTGTCCTTTCAGGTGGCACGCAAGGGACTGCAGGCGGAATCGGCTATTAGCTGTCATGCCAGCATAGGCGAAAGTGAGGGAAGGTGGCCTGGTTCCAGCTCCAGTTCAAAGGCATAAATGGGTAGCACTGAAGACTGTGGGCTTCTGCAGATGACTTGCTTATTGAGCATCCGTCCTGATAGACTTGCACAAAGCTTACGCAGAGGTTAGACCACATCCAGTCTTTAACGAGCAGTCATTCTCCTTTGTTTGCACAGTGATTATACACCTTTCTGTTGATCGTTAGTTCTGTTCACACTTTTCAGCGCATTTCCTGTCACTTTCCTAACCATCAAAAAATTGTTTGTTTGTTTCTTAAATAGATTTGTTGCTCCGTGGCGACAGAGTCCTTTAACCCACTTTAATTGAGCAAACTTGCCTTTCCGGTATGCACTGGAAGCCCTCCTGCAAAATACTGACACTCTGGAGGTGTGACCCCCTGTTTGCTTGTATCTTTTGCATCATCATCTTGGCCCTCAGTATCAAGACTAGGGCTGCAAATGTTCTTGACTCTTTCCAGAGAGAAATCATCACCACAGATTTGGAGAGGAAATGCAGCCTTGGCACACTAAAATGTCCACTCCCCCTCATTTTAAATCAGCCCTCAGAAAGGTCTCAAAATCTTACCTTTGGGTATAATTAGTATCATATCACTGTATGGAATTAAAATCTTGTTTGTTTGCTTGCTTGCTTTATTAGATTTCTTACCTGGCCTGTACCATAAGGTCCCAGAACGGATTACAGCAATAAAATATACATTTATAAAACAAATAAAACAGAGCAGTAAAAATGTAAAAACAGTTCAATACATAAAAGAGTTTAAAACAGTGTCACATCTAATAACAATGCAAACATTTGAAAGCAATTCCATATATATAAAACAGTTTAAAAATACTTCCAGTACAGATGCAATCTGGGAAAAGGACTCATCCATCAAAGGCTTGTTGAACACTCCACCCTGTGGAAGGCTACCGTCTTCTCAATAGACAAATGTAAACCGTTTCTGGTCCACAAATCAGTCCCTTGGTACCTGTACTACACTGCCTCTCATCTTCTGGCATCTTTTTTTGTTTTAATGTAACATTAGCATCCTACCTTTCCTCCAAGAAGCTTAAGAAGACATATATGCTTCTTCTTCTTCCCATTTCCTCCCTCGCAACAACCCTGTAAGCTGAGGAATGGGGACTTTCCTAAGGTCACCCAGTGAGCTTCATGGCTGGGCAGGGGCCTGAACACTGGTTTCCCAGGTCCCAGCCCATCACTCCTAACCACTACACCACACTGGATCGCAATGAAGAAGGCACTGGCATTTCAGGAAAGTAGAGGGCATCAACCGTGAGAGGGACTTGTGCCTCCACTTGCCCTGCTTCTTGTGTGAGGCAAGATCTAAAAGTCTCCTTTTTCCGCTGAGATGTGTGATCTCAACATGCATACTCCCCCTCCTTCCATTTTGAGTGTCATTTGCATCACTCTTTTTAGCTATCAAATGGAATTATGGTTAGTTGATTATTAGCTATGGCCCCACAACCCAGAAAAAACTTGTCACAGTTGAGACTCACGGAAATAAATAGGATTTTAGTTCATCACAGCCAAGTCCCATTTCAGTAGTCACAACTAGCTTTTCCTGGATTCCGCCCAATGCGTTTTTGAATGTTATGAATAACTCCTCGCTCTTTCTTGTAGGAGCTATTGTAAATGAACCTCACAGACCTGCTATCTGAACATAGATTTATGCAAAGGTCCATTTTATTTGTTCAAATAAATACTTTGGAGAGGCTTCTTGTACTGAAGCATGTAAACAATCACCGTGAACCATGTCATGGCTGCGGGTCAGGTTGTACGATACGATTTCAGGGAGCTGATGTTCCTTTCCTGCCAGCCTTAGCCAATAATTCACCATAATTATTTTTTTGTATTTTGGCTTGTTGTAATTAAAGGGAAGGCAGGAATAGGAAGGGAAAGCAGGGGGGGTACACATCTCTGTATTCTGACAATGCCTCTAAATGGCTGAGTGGCACATTATTGGAATGTCATATGCCTTGTAAAGCTTGTTCCATTCAGGACAGAAATAGAGGCTCCCAAAGAAAATTAGTAGTTGCATTCTCAAGGTTAACATTTAAATTTACATTAGCAGGAAAATACGCCGGTTGAGATGCAGTTTCAGAGCCTTTCCATAAAGATGCCATTATATCCAGAAACAAGGAGGCAAGTAAAACAGCTAGAAAGCACAAGGCACAGTTTCGTGAACAGTTTGTGATATAGGGAGATCTAATGGTTGTGGCTTCTGGTGCCCATGCTGCTAATATTCTGCAAACAAAGACAGTGTCTGGTAGGACAGCTAGGGAATAGGCAAATCTGTCCGTTTTGGTTTCCCATTTTCCCAGTCTTAAATTCAGTTCTTCATATTTCCACATTAGATTGTTATTTTTTAAAAATGAAATAAAATAAAACCTAATGGAAATTCATCAGCATTTTAAGTTCTTTTAACATCTATATATTCAAATAAATTAGTATTTATTCATTTAACAAAAGTGTATGTGTATACATACATACACACACACACCCCTCCATCTCATAAAATATTAGGGCAGTGTACAGCGATATATGTATACAAAAAAACTTAAAACACCACTAACACAGTACGAAACAATCATTAAATGACTGACTTATCAAGAAGGTTTTAAATGACTGTGAGGGCTGGTGGCCTAAAAGGGTCTTCAAGAGACGCCCAAGTGTCAAAAGGTAAGGATTGTCTGTCAGATCTGTGCCAGAAGAGTGTTCCATGGCATTCGACTAGCAGTACTCAGTGCCCAAGAACAAGTTGAAGCCAATTGGGGTCTGTAACATCAGAGGTGGATCCGAGGGAGCACAGATTTGGGGGTCTATTTAGCTGCATTGGGTGAGAAGCCTCGGAAGTGCTGCCAGTGGAGGGTGCTATATTTTGGCGTCGCACCGGACACCACTGAAATTTGAGACCTCAAGGGTGGAATCTACACACATATAAAAACCCCGCTGTGAAAATGCTTTTTAAAAAAACATATTGAAAAATATATTGAGCTCACCTT